ACATTATTTTGCTTATCTATTTTATCCATTACAAATAAATAAAATTGATGTGTCTGTTTGTAATGTCCAAATAACAGCTATTTGCTAATTTCATATGAAAGGATATACGGTACTTATAAAAAAAAACAATTTTAAAAATTTTCGTCTGTCTGTCTGTCTATTTATTCCGGCTAACCTAATTTTGACTTTCCAGTCAAAATCAAGTTTACTGGCATATTGCTAATGTTATATGAAGTAACTTAGGCTACTTTTATTTAAGAAAAAGGATTAATTAGGGTTTCGTGCAAAAGAATTGAAACTCATGAAATTGCAATATCTGCATACCCGAGTGAAACGAGGGTAAGTCGCTAGTCTACTATACAATGCCTATTATCTACGCAATTGCCAATCAATACAGTAGATAATATTTGAAATGATTTTCTATATATAGCATATACATCTTTAATACCTATGAAAACTAAGCATAAAATGAAAACTTAGCATAAAATGAAAAGTAACGTTTTGTTTTTAGAGTTCGATACTCGTAGGGTACCGGAACCCTTTTACTATGCTTCCGCTGTCTGTCCGTCCGTCTGCTAGAGGGCTATGTCTCATGAACCGTAATAGGTAGAGAGTTGAGATTTTCACAGAGTATGTATTTCTATAGCCGCTATAACAACAAATAATAAAAATAAATAAAAATACAAGAAACATTTTTTTTAACGTTTTTAATCGATCGTCGAAGTTAATACACTACACACATAGAGTGAAAGTCATATTAAAATAAGTACATGTAAGATATTACGGAACCCTTCATCTGCGAATTCGACTTGCACTTGACCGATTTTTTTATTAAGAACAATTGAAATATTAAAACATATATTTTACATTTCGTAGCGCTGTTCGAAATAATTGGACTTGTACAAGAACGAAAGCGCAAGCAAAAAACAATAAGAATGATTGGAGCGTAAGCCTCTAAGCGGGTTTTATTGAGATTCAAGTAAAAAAATATGAAGATCTTAGAAAAGTTGAATGAATATTTTCACAAACTCTTTACTTAGAATGCTTACATTTTTTAATTGAATGGGAGGTGAGAATCTTAGTTGAATAAGAAAGTGTGTAGTAATTTGCGTATTGGTGACACGTTTGGCTCGATTTGTAGTGACCCTACTTTCTGTGGCAGCGGTCGCGGGTTCGAGACCCACTAGGGGCATTCATTTGTGTAATAATCACGAATGTGTACAATAGTCATGGGTGTTTATATTTATAACATATAAATACAGTGGAATGCTTGAGAAAATAAGTGAAGCGGATTCAAATCCTGTGTCTCGCGTCTCTGATATTCTCACGTGCGAATCGTTTTCAACACGATTACCGCTTCACTTAGGGTTAAGGAAAGCATCGTGAGGTAACTTGGCCAGCGTGAACTGTGGCCTGATCTTCTGTTATTGACAGAACGCTTATGCCCAGCGGTGGGAAGATAAAAAGGGCTAAATACCAGTAAAATTAGGATTTTATTATATAAACCGTAAAATATTTTTTTCTATAAATATTATACTGGTATTCACCAGCGGCTTTACTTGTGTATGATAAAATTGTCATTTACAATAAGATATGTAATCCTTTACTTCAAATTCTATGAATCGTTACAACGTTAGAAAGTAGTAACTCTCGCAATTAATATTATTATAGTGATTTTAAATACTTTACATTAAGCCTTCTTTAAATTGGATCTTGAAATGATATTTAAGTTTTTTATATATATTATTGTATAGCTGGTATATACATAGAATTATGTAGTATTCTCTTAATCAAATTAAACAAAGAAACCAAGACATATATATGATTGAACTTTATTCTCGCTTTTTCGAAGATATAGACATAATATGTGATAAATTATATTAGTCACAAGTTACATAATAATTATGTCATTCACTAGTTATAGCCCGTGACTACGGTTGCGGGTTTAAGCAATTTTCTATTAGTAATATATTTTTTTAATCATTATCATCATATTAAATTACGCATGGACATTGTTATATCCATTCTTGTTTAATAAACAAATTTAGAGAGATAAATTAACAAAATAATTATTATTTTGAAGGCTTTAAGACAAAAATTGTCAAATGTCAAGCAACAGATGTCCAAAATACGAACTAACTTGCACCAACAAATTGTTTGAAAGTTTTTAATTTATTCAGTACTTAGCAAGACATGCTCCCAGTTTAATTATTACCGAGTCGCCGAGTGACGACAATAAAAGCACAAAGAGAAGCGTGCCCATAAATTTTTAACGTCTTCAACAAAACACCGTTCATTTACTCCCTTTGAGACTACATTATGAGTGTAATCCCGGAATGGAATCCCATCGAATAATGGATTTCCGCATTAATGAAAATTTTAATTTATCCTTTCTCTATACGCATATCCATATAATATAGTAGCTTTAAGTTTTTCTTTGAGAGCTTTGCAAAAGATATATTAAAAATTCGGTGTTCGTTCGTTCAGATGTTCAACTATTACTTTTTTTTTTTTATTTACTTTCTTAGCTTTACGCGAATATTTGATATTTTAAATAATACTATGTTTCGGGGACTTATTATGACTTTTGGTTCCTGACGTTTTAAATGCTTTACAGCAAACATAATCCCTCCCGTGAATAGATAGATCTCGTACTCAAACGTACTATTGTCGGTGTAGAAACAGATCAGAACTAGGCGGACGGCGAAAAATAGAATTTATGTACCTACACAGCGACTCACCCTCGCTTCGCTTGGGTTCGTCCCTAGGTTGATTCCCCATATAAAGTTTCATCCCCATTTTCACCCTCTTAAGGTATGATTTCCGGGATAAAAACTACCCTGTCCTTCCCAGGGTCTCAAACTATATTCTTACCAATTTTCATCTAAATGGGTGGATTTGGGAGTTTATTCGATACAAATAAACAAACAAACAAATGTTTCCTTTTTATAATATTAGTATATATAGATAGTATAGATACATTACACAGATTCTTCACCAATGGTAAACTGTTTTAAGTGTACTCTTTTTAATTACTCAAGGATACTCTCATGAACATTTTGGAAAAAGTAAACTTTCTAAAAATATACCTACTATACAAAAAAATATTAAAATCGAACTTTTTAGCAGAAAAAGAACTAGATAATTACCTATCTAGTTTTCTACTAAGCGTGTCGATTGTAGAAAGTTATGTTATCTAAGGAGCATTATTTAAGCACTTCAGTAAAAGCTTTATACTTTCATTAAACCTTACCTATATCTTGATTCGCACATATGCAAGGGTTATAAACTTAACAGCTCCATCAAATCCCGTATTTGCGATAACTTGTCTAATAAATCAAGCAATCGTTAACTTAATGGTACTATAACAGCATTTAATAGGGCTGTGAAATAAGGACGTACTCCTAAGAGAAATAGTAATCTGTAATTATTGCTTGAGAAAATGTATCTTTGATTTAGTATGTAGACGTAATTTAATATCAAAAGTTAAAATTTAAAGATATTATACAGAAGGACATACGATAGTTTTTATCCCGGAAATCATCCCTTAAGGGGGTTGAAAATATGGGTAAAATTTTATATGAGGAATCAATCATTTCAAGTTTTTGATATAAAAACCCCGCATACCTATATATACACATATATATATATATATATATATATATATATATATATATATATATATATGTATATGTATATATATATAGCTGTAGTCTATCTATTCTATACTAAGCGTCAAAACGTTGGACGAACCCAAGCGAAGCGAGGGTGAACCGCTAGTATACAATAAAACTTACAAAGCACATTCCTTAAACTTGAAATGGCGCTTAAAAGGAGATAAGTTATCCTCTTCGATACCTACACTTTCCTGGTTACACATTGAATATTCAAACCGTCAGACGCAGCGGTCAGAATAATTGCTCTTTGGGTTCTCTTCCGGCTTGAGGTAAATATTGAATTATTGGAGTACTTGCACACAAGAATTTAACATACTTGGGACATAAGGTTTTTAACTGACTTCCAAAAGAAAGAGGTGTATGTTCATTAAAAATGTGAATCATTTTAATTTTTTATTAAACAAGTTGAACTTTAATATATCTCATATGAGTTTACAAAATTTTACGGGATTTTGAAGTGATTTTAAGCTATCTTTACACTTTTTAAAGACACATTAAATTCTTTCACTTATTTGCGCTTAAAAACATGATAATCGTTAAAATAAATCTTATTCTATCCCTTATACACGCTTTTGACTTAATATAAATAATGTATGGAATTAGAATCAAATATCTAACTCAAAGGCTTTATTAGTAGCCATCGTAGAGTTCTACTTTTGAACATAACCTCAATGGTATTAATTTATAGTATTGTCATCTGAATTTCACATAAATACTAGATATTTACATCAGTTAAGTACAAGTAAAATATAAGAACATAAAACCGTAACAAAATCGAAAATATAGTTTTAGTTTAATAAGTCAAATATATAAAAGAGTAGGCTAAAATTGACTTACAAAATTCGATTACATTTCTAGTTTCAAGCGAAGCCTAAATAATAGCCTGTCTAAACAAAATATTGAAAAAAAACTAAGTACAGATTTGAAAACTTTGGTTAAATAATAGGTAACCTAAATAATAATATTAAAAAATATACACTATATTATTTCTTTTTGTAATAATTTTGCACTTCTACTGCAAATATAGATGAGTATATAGAGACAATTGATGTTTCGTTCGCGCTTTCCGCCTTTCGGGATAATGCGTGGTGGGTGAACCTCAAAAAACTTATGATGTATACAGTTAATATCTCCTCTAAATTAATGGCAATATTTACATCATATTTTTAGATTACGATTCAAATAGATTTAAATATACACGAGCCTCATACGCATTTTAACATTTTCAGTAACTATGTTCCTATTAAAAATAATTAATATATAATTAATTTGTGAGTGAAAAACTGTTATATAGAACAATGAGTGTTAATCACTATTGAAGACATGGCCTCGTACAGTCACCAGGAAACTCAGTCGAGTCCCGCGAAGGAGGTGCCCAGGTAAGTTAAACATTTTATAAAAGCATTTCTATAGTTATAAATAAAATAACTTTCTTAGATTTAATTTCAAATCAAATCAATTATTTGATATTCTAAATACATTTTTTTTTGGGTTTTTTCGCGGATTTATTTAGATTTTTGGTTTTAAGTGCTTTACAGCAAACATAGTTATAGGAGAGACCATGTTTAATTTAAAATATAAATAACTTGTCTTGCCGTGACTTGGACTTTTGGGTATATGTTATTTTATTTAACTTATTTAAATATTTTTCCAATATCGAACCGTTTTAATAGCTCAAATGATTAGGTTAAGGATGGTTCCATACATTTTCAAGAGAAAATTCTACTAAGTTTTAGATATCTTAAAGTCGATACACCGTTTTAATTTTAAAACCAATTATTTTATTAAAGACAACATAAACTGCAGTTAACTAACATCAAAATAAAAATTGAAAATTGATTCTCCAACAATAACGGAAAACTATTACTCGTAATAATACTTTTTTATCGTTTGTCAAATTAGTTATCTGTCTGTTGGACACATGCCAATGGCCTGTAAGTTATCTATGAGATAAATTGAAAGTATTTTATTCAGTCATTTTTGAAACGATTGACGACGGCAATTAATGATATGTCACGATAAAATGCTCTTGATATTTATGGATATCTCAATAAGTGTTTGTGTTGATGGACTTCCGTATCTTTTTATGAGCTAATTATATATGACACGTTTGGCTCAGTTTGTGACACTTCTTGCTGTGTCAGCGGTTTCTTCACTACTTTTTTTTAATGATTATGAGAGTATGGAAAACTTTTGATACCTACTTAAGAATCATGAAGTCACCAGTTTAAATTTTTTATTTAAAGTTGAAAATGTAAGTCATATTTCACCAAACGTAAATTTTTCATTTTACACCAACATTTTCATAATTTCCATCAAAGTTACGAAGCTGATTATTTTAAGCAAAAGTACGATTCATGAAGATTTAGTTGCAAAAAAAAATCCAAAAAGTCTTCTACTTTTTTTATATTTTTTTTAAGATGTTTAGTTTGAAAATTCTCAAAAATTTTGGAAAACATTCATAATTCAAAAACTATGAACAATCGCCTTAAATACATGGAGGATTTGGATATTCCAAGGGGTGCTCTATCTCTGGACTTCCGCTTGACACTACTTTCTGGGACACCTGTATATAAATAAAAATTTATTTTGTCTATCTCGAAAATGATTCTAATGATTTATATCAAATTTTGTATTTAGATAAGGTTTTGTTTTTTTTTTAAGTTTAACTATATAGGTGTCTTTTCTGAAAAAGGGCAATTTTATATCTTTTTCAAAAACGCGGAGCAAAGCTTGGTCGCCCAGGTACTAGGCGCGTCCTATAACTCAACGTAAACCAAGTCACAGGTTTTATATATTTTTCATAATTTATATGTGACAGCCAATATATGCTTTTAATAAAGCTCATATTGAAACAAACAATTTCGTAACTTTTTAAATGTCATAGTGTAATATTACATTCAGAGTTTGATCACAACACCTCAATAAAGTTTGAATATAAATAACAAGTACATATGTATATATGAATAGTTTGCATCGGTTCACAGTCGAATAAATCATGTTGCGAGTAAATACGCGTAAAAATAGTTCGCAAATCGTCGGGAGGAACAAAAATGCGACTACAGCTATTGGGCACACGATGTTTGGTCAATTTTAACCCCTACTATAAAATATAGTTATGTTAATCCATCTTTTTTATGTTTATACATTTTATAGACAAATTAGAGATACATATCGTTCCTATTCCTTTTATTGTCCTAATATTAGTTCTTTCATACCAAATAAAGAGTAGATAAAATATAAAATATGTTGGGACATTAACACACAGCAATATCTAGTTCCCTGGTAAGCTACAAGGCTTGTGTTATGGATACCAGATAATTGATACACTACACATCTTTAACTTTAAGTACCAACAAATTATAAATATAAACACACGTGACTGAAAAACCAACATTCGTGCTCATCACACAAATAAATGCCTCCAGCGGGACTCGAAGCCGCGACCACTCTCACAGCAACTAGGGTCACAAAAAAATAAGCCAAACGTATCGACAAACGGTCACCTGATTTTTATATTTTGTATTTATAAAAGAATAATAATTAACTTTAGTCCCATGAATGTAAACCGAACTCGTCGAGACAAAATTCAATGGTAAAATCCCTATTGATGTTCTCATAAGTTATTACATTTAGCAGCAAAAAGAAGAAAGAGAAAAAAATATATGTGAGAAATCTATATATTACCTGTTATATAAGTAATTTGAGATCGTATTTAGTCCTTCTTGAGGTCTCACTGTTGGACACGAGCCTTCTCTTAATGCGAGAGGGCCACGCTGGCCAAGTACTTGTAGCGGACTTCACATCTTTCGAAAACTAGTGAGATTTTCTTACACGCAGGTTTCCTTATGATGTTTCCTTTACCGTAAGGCAAGTGGTAATCACGGTGAGATCACAAAATAATAATTCCGGTATTTTTTTTATAAAAAACAGCATTGTTTGAAAAATATTCACATATTCACAAATAGGCTTAAATCGAAAACACGTAGTAGAGGCGGTCCATTTTTGTTCACAGTAGGATGTAAAATCAATACAATGAGTGCAGCAAGCTCACAGACATTCGCTTTTGGTTTGGTTTTAAATGTTTATTTTTTTATCCTCCTTTAAAGAGCACAGCTATCACGATCTCATAGTGATTATTATTTCTGATCGAATCGGTATTGTTTTATTATTGGGAGGAAAAGCTATCGAATTAGCTGTGATAGCCCATTGGTAACACGCTGACTTAAAAATCCTTGTGTAGTGGGTTCAAATCCGAGTCCCTCTGACATTTTCAATTACAAATCATTATTTCACATAATAACCAGTAAACTGTCTAGAAGGACATCACTAATTTTCGAAAGACACATAAAGTTCGTCAACGTGTACTTAGCCAGTGGACTGATCCACCTCGTATTGAAGGGACGTGCCCAGCAGTAATAAGTTAATTAGGATATATTATTTATTATTACTTAAGCTATCAAATCAATTACATGTATTACGAAAAGTTTTTTTTTATAATATTAATGTTCATATAGAAAATTATTTTGGACAAATCTATACTAATATTATAAAGAGGCAGAGTTTGTTTGTTTGAACGCGCTTAATCTCAGAAATTACTAATAGGTACGAATTGAAAAAATATTTTTGCATTAGATAGCCTGTTTATTGAGAAAGGCTATATACTCGTACATCATATAATATATAGTCTAGGTATTCATTGCATACTAACCATTACAACGTACGTATCTTCTGTAAGGTATAAAAAATATTGTTCAGGCTCATTTTTACTACGAGATTTAGCTTTGCAAATCCTTTTAACCGTTGATCGTAACAAGATGTGAATAGGCAAGAAGGTCACAGGAAAAAACTATGGCTGCTAAAAAGGCATTTCACTCTATTTCACAAGCTTTTATTTCACTTTTAGCCGATGTCGAGACAATACTTTGCTCGGAAGCGATTCTCACTACTATTGAATTCTTAATATATAAATTTCCTCTAAAATATATGTAAGTTAAGTTATATGAAATGAAAATATTATTTACTTACTTATTTTCTAACTGGTGAATCAAGTTGTCTTTTCTTATACGCTCCTAGATAATTTTATATTCATTCATCTATCCGTACAAGAAAATAATATTGATGTGTACATATTTCAAATTAAACTACAGATATATCTAAGAAAATATGATCACTCTTTAAAACTTATAATTATTTTAGTAAGCACTAGCGACTCACTCTCGCTTCGTTTTTTTTTTTTTAGCGGAACCCTTATTCTTTTTATAAAATAAAAGTAGCCTTAATTACTTCTATCAGCTCTACATCTGCCAGTGAAAGTCTCGTCAAAATCAGTCCAACCGTTTCGAAGATTAGCCAGAACGAACAAATAGACAGACAAAAATGTTAAAAATTCCGTTTTTCTTATAAGTACTGTATATAGTAAAAAGCTGTTATTTTGATATTACAAACGGACACTTCAATTTTATTTATCTGTACAAATTATATCCATTTACAAACCTGGCTTATACAAATACATTTTAGCATTTACACTAGACCTATAAATCTATTTTAAACGAATTTAGCGCTTCCATCAATTCCCTAAGACCTATCGCCATAAATTCGCATATAGCACCTTTATTCGGGAATGGGCGATAAATTTTTATTTTAAAGTGATCACGGAACATTATCGGAGTTTAATATTAGCGAGGTATTTCACTATTATGAATTATTACGCGATTACTGCGTTGAAATATGTTCTGTAGGGAGTAAGGGGAGTGTATGACACTTGACTGTCTATGTTTGTTTTGTATAGTTGTAGTTGGCTACGTTAAGGATTTTTGTATATGGCTAGTTTTATTTATTTTGTAAATTCATAAGGTTTTTGGGATTATGTATTTATTTATGTGGGCTCTTATAGATTTGAAAATGATTTTCATATGTATATATTATCCTTGTATACTCTTAGATATGAAAAATATTTTCAACAGACTACTTATGGAAAATATTTGATTTCCATATCATAAGAAGTCGGTTAAAAAATAGCATGTATATCTTAATTATTTTATATCATCCGTACTAATTGTTAACTCTGGTCTGTTACCGTTACACCGTTATATCGCTGAACAGATTTCGATAAAATTTGGCCGGGACATAAATTGCATCTTGGACTTATTACAGACATCTCTATCCCACTTAATACGCGAGCAAAACCGCGAACAAAAACTAATATTATGTACTGTATACCACACCGTGTTCATTATATCTAGGTTCTAAGGTAATTTTTCACCTTCGTCAGAACTAACATGCTATACAGTAGTAAAAAATACATATTATAGGTATATACAAAAGTACATTTATAATATTTATATAATTTACATACTATATCCATGATATTTGAAGC